CCTGTGTTTCAAAGTAAAATAACAACAGTTGGTAATACAATTCGAGAAAGTGAGTCTGTCAGTTACTGCACTGGCCTGTGTTCTATTACAATGTAGTAAAACACACATCAGGAAGTTAAGTCAAGATGTGAAAAGCACTTACTGATGTAAGAATGGCCAGTTAAAGAGATTTCAATTGTTTGATTTACTCTCTACAACCACCTGCCTGGATCTATTTTATAGCTCTCTCCAGACGGCAGGTGTAGGTGAAGTAACTAAGCAACCCCGGATGTGTTTTCCAGGTGTCCGGTAGGTGCATGTGTGCTCACCACACAGCGGGGGATCACTGTGAGAAGTGCGCCCCGCTCTACAATGATCGTCCCTGGAGGCCGGCCAACAGCAGCAGCGGGGAGTCCAACCCGTGCCAGAGTGAGTGACCACCAACACGCTGCACGCTAACCATGCTGCTGAGAAAAACCAGAGAAGAGCTTCAAAAGTGGGCTGTAACAGGAACTATACATAGTTTTTATCAAGCGTCCATCTAGCAGGGTTTTAAATACTTAAGTTTTGTCAATGTGAGAACATCATTTTGACAACAGTGTTTTGAACATGGTATACAAATAGGCTTTATAGACTCAAGCAAATCCGAACATACTAAATCTAATATACTTATAATGCATTTTGTATCCGCTTGTAGCACTTATTTATAAGCACTTTATAGCACTTATAGGATCAAGGTCACTCACTGACAAAGGATCATAGTGTATTATGATTTCCTAATACATTATAATAGCAAACATCTGTTTAAAATACATCAACCAAGTTAAAGGCAGATATAATCAAATCACAAGCTGCCTTTAAATCACTTCAAATTGTAATTTTGTGCTTTAAATAAAAAGAAAAAAAAAACATAATTAAAACAAAAATGTCAAAATGTGACGATTAATTATGAAGTGTTATGATACTGGACTTTATAAATCGTAATAAAATGCTTCGAAATTAAACATGAATATTTTCCAAGTACTTATTACTTTAATAATGACAGGCTAAAAGCAGATTATAGTAGACTATGAGTATACAGTTTTTGACGCATTCCCTGCTACCATACAATAAAACCATAATTATAGACATTGGCCTCATTAAAAATGTTACCCAAAAACCTAACCCATAATGTGCCTGTACCCCGTGTTCCCTGTTGTCTCTCCCCCTCCTCCCTCCCCATCACTTTGTCTCTCTCTCACGCCTTCAGAGTGCCAGTGCCACGCTCACGCAGAGCGCTGCCACTTCTCTCCGAGGGCCTGGCTCTCCTCTGGGGGCACCAGTGGGGGCGTTTGTGACGACTGCAGGCACAACACTGTGGGGCGCAGGTGCCAGCGCTGTCGCCATGGTTACCACCGCCACCCATCCCTGCCCCTCAACTCCCCCCACGCCTGCACACGTAAGACCCTCATCGCTGAGTTGATCTTAGAGTTGCACATTTCTGCTCCGCACTACCTCTTGTTTAAATCTGCATAGCTCTCCACTTTCAACCAACTACTTGTCATATTTTATTATACTTTACTGTACTTAGTTTTTCACATATTTATATTTTGTGTACATTTTGTCTTTATTTTTAATTTATTACAATTGTTTTAAAATAGTTTCTAAAATAGCTTTTATAATAGTACAATTTGTTGCCCTTCTTCAATTTTTTGCTTTGAAGTAAAAATTAGAAGTACTGCATTGAGAAAGGTACCTAAGTAAAAGTATTTACGTACAATAAGGAAAATGTACTTAAAGTATTCAGAGTAATCTTCACATTTAAAAAGCTGGAACTGCGATTCATTTTCTGTTGTCGCACTTGTGGTTTTAGTTGCTCTGCATAACATTTTGGATGGTTTAATCTATACCAAATAATCCTATTTTAAACGTTTTTTTTCAAGTATTGTTTGTCAAAATCTGAATTTATAAAGTACCTAGTAAATAAATCTGTAAAATAAATATATTGGAATAAAAAGTACAATATTGACTCCCAAAATCTAGTAGAAAAGAAGTATAAAGTAGTATAAAATGAAAATACTCAGGTAAAGTACAAGTACCTCAAATGTGTACTTGAGTATAGCACTTGAGTAAATGTACTGGTGGTGTTTGTTCAAAGTAAGACGTCTTATAGCTCCATCTGCTGGCACTTTTCTAAATCCATAATTTGACAATAATAGAAGAGTAAAAAATAAATGTAGGAGCATCATACTTAACTGTGTGTGTTTCTCAGGCTGCTGGTGTGATCCTCGGGGGTCTTTGCCCACTCGTCCGGGGGAAGAGGGACCCTGGTGCCACCCGAGGAGCGGGCAGTGCCCCTGCAGACCCGGGGTCTGGGGCGCGAGCTGCAGCCACTGCCAGCCCGGACACTGGGGGTTTAGAGAGGAGGGCTGTAGACCCTGCGCCTGCCCTCACAGCTGTGATCCAATCACAGGGCAGTGTCTGGACAGGTTAGCCATATAATCTATCCACGACGTAATCATTCACACGTCAAGGCAGAAGCTAAAACTTAATCACTGTGGTTATTGCTCATTTATACTTCCAGTTGAGCTTAAACCTGCTCAGACGTTCACACTTTTTCCAAATGTGCAAAAAAAATGATATTGAGCAACCAGTCTTTCCAACAATAATTATACTGTAATTTGATAGGTTAGTTTAAATGAATTCTGAAGATATAGCTGTTTTGATAAATGTGCTAGTATGTATATTCGAAATATTTGTATTTTGCTATTTGGCATATAGCATATGTTCTCCCTTTGATATTAATGATTTTTTATGCATGGCCTTGTTTGATAAAGACATTATAGTAACAATCACCTGATGGGTTCAATTCCACCATTGCAGCTACTCAAATAACCAGGTGTTCAACGTGCCCATTGGTGGAAAGATCCCTGACCTGGATCACATGTTCACATTAGAAGAAGAGGTTCAGTGGTCGAAGGAGCTCGCCGTCTCTGCTCTGCATTACACAGGTGAGTCTGATGTTCATCTGCATTGCATGGCTTTAAACTGTGGAATCATAGTGATGTATTGAGGGTAATCTTGGAGGTAAGAGTGGATCAGGAATAACTCATGTCTGTATGCAGGAAAGTGCAGCTGTAAGGAGAAAAAGCTGAGGAGTGCGTTGGACCTCTGTAAGACCAAACATGATTATGGTAAGAAAGGATGTGTAATTATTATCACTCGTTTAATAACCGTTTCATGAATTGTGATCTATACTTGCTTCATAATGCCTCCCCTCAGTATTCTCTCTTCCTGTGTGACCCTGACAGTGATCAAGGCCAGTGTGCTGTCCGCTCACGACAAAGGCAGCCACGCAGAAGTGCAGGTCAAAGTTCGCAAGGTCCTTCGATCAGGCCAGGTGGCGCTGAGCTTAGGGACCATCAGCATCTACCCTCTGTCCTGGACCAGCCGCGGCTGCACCTGTCCCATTCTAAACCCAGGTAAAATGATTATAATTCAGTTCAAATGTAAATGTACTTAGTCTAGATACTTATTTATATATTATTACAATATGCAGAATTTATTTTACATAGTTTACTTATACCATTGTGTTCCTTGTACTTTTTTTATTTCCATTTCTTCTTGCACTATTTTTCTTTTCTTTTTATGTCTTAAGAATATTGTATGTTGCATTGTAGGAGGAGCCTGGGACCTAATATGGGTCTTTTTACTGCCAAAACTACACTCTAGCTATTGTGTTTGTGACAATTAAGCCTTTGAATTTGAATCTTAATATGTATTTATCTTGATCTTATTTTTAATTTTAGACGCATAGGTCAATATCTATAAATGGAAGAACCAGTTGAAAACATGGCAAAGAAAAGGAACTTGTGAACAAGTACACGAGACACAGTAACGTTCCGCTTTCTGGACACATTTTAAAAATGTAACAGAGGAATATAGATGTGTTACTAGACCAGGTCAATAATGTCTTACCTCTCTCACCTAGGTATGGAGTATTTGCTGGCGGGCCCCGAGGAGGCAGGAACAGGCCGTCTGCTGGTCACCATGCAGAGCGTGGTCGTCCCGTGGACACCGCGGCTCGGCCTACTGGTATCAGAGGGCCTGAGGAACGGATGTACATGAATATAGATCTACACAGGCAGGACAGACTGCAGAAGATTTGGCAAGGACATTTGAGTCAGTGGACAATTCAGAAAGGGGACTGAAAATCACTGACGACATGCTGCCTCATTCAGAGGAGTCAAACTCATGACTGTGTGGTACTCACAATGTGTGTGTGTGCAACACAAAATAAAGACTGAAGTGAGTTCCTGGATTTATTAAGATCTGAGTTTAACAAGTCAGTATTTTATCACCACTTTCTTTTCAGCAAAGAGCAAGGTAATGATGTCCAACTGGGTTTCTCAAAGTTTATTTATACACATGTTGAAGCCTATATGATTTTGATAATAAAATACTATGAAACTATAACATTACTGATATTCCAGAAATGCAAGCTAGTATTAGGCTGTTAAATATGATGGTCGGTTCTGTCATAATACACGGCTTACTTGTACATATTAGTTAAAAACATTTATTACATTTTCAAGATGTGAACATTTAAAACTGACTGACATTAAAGGTGGGGTAGGTAAGTTTGAGAAAACGGCTCAAGATACACTTTTTGTTATATTCCATGGAATGCTCTTAACATCCCGATAGCAATGAATATCTTAAGTGCTTTGACAAAAAAATCAATAAAAAAATGTCATCTGTGGAAGCCGTAGTACTGTAAAAAGCACGACCAATCATTTTAGCCGGCCCAGCTAAAATAACTGGATGGCCTACCTGCCTGTCAGCCTTCCATCTGTGCACAAACTTATCTCGTGCCCTCATTGGTCATGTGCGCGTTCGTGTGTGTTGGAGGAGGGGCTCTGTAAGGAAGTGGCAGATTTTCTCCGGTTGTGTATTTTATTCTAGCGATCTCGAGCCGGTTTCTCAAACTTACCTACCCCACCTTTAAGAAGGCTTTGTCTTCATACGAAAACAGGAACATCTGATTTTTCCACAAATCATTTTAATCTGGACATGTTTGAGAAACACAGATCAAGTATTTTAGAGGAAGGTCACTGAATGGTGATCAGAGCAGAGTCCAGACAGTGTTCAGACAACAAAAAACATTTATGCACCGACAGTAAAATGTAACAAACCACTTTGGTCTTGGCCAGATACAGTATCAATTATGAAGATGACAACAACTTTCCATATGCCAATTAATGTAGATGGAAACCCTGAAGTTCTTACAAGATGTCAACAAACGCAGCTAAAAACCTCTCTTCATTTTACCCAAACAGAAGCCTTGTTTTTTTTTACCAATTAAAGGGCATTCTGTCTTTTTAGTAAGAGAATAAAGGAAGGGAAATAAATGTTAAACTGCAGTAACACAAACAAGAAAAAGAAGCTCCAATCAAAAGATTAAGTGATTCCTGCTTGGATTACTATCAAATTGCATAATGAATCGAAGCCGGTGCTGTATATTTCTGGGCTGTCAACATTAACAGGACAACACACATAATGGATGCCAACAAACAAGCTTTTTTGATTGACACGATAACACACAAGAAATTAAATCCCAATTGCCTATAAAGGGACTCTTTCACTGATGTGCCTGCAGTTCAGCCCGCTGTCATTAAATCATATTCTTCAATGATCTTTGAGTGCCAGTGAAACAAAGCAGCCTATACTTTGTACATACGCTATGTTCATCTGCATTCACAAAGTCCTTCACTGATTGCCTGTAAATATGGCCCATTAGAATCAGAGCTATGTCAGTAAGTCCTCTCTGTCTGTGGGCTTAATCAGGTGAAGAGGCCAATCAGAGCTCCTCCTGGAGAGTCAGTTCTGCCGGGCAGTGATTGGACACAGAGAAGTCTGGATGAGCACTGGTGGACCTTAGCTGGCACTCGGGGTTTCTGTGAGCGATGCGCTGTCAGGTGAGGCATCAGCAGCAGGTGTAGCATCAGCAGCAGGTGTAGCATCAGCAGCAGCAGCAGCAGGGAGAGAGTCAGTTTCAGGGGGCGAGGCGGAGCCCTCAGTCGGGGCAGCAGAACCAGAACCAGAGTTGGACTCTGCTTCGGAGGAGCTTTCTTTATCTTCCTCTTGAGGGTAGAGCTCGGGGTACTTCTGCATGCACTCTTGCATACCGCGGAAGTTGTCGATGCAGTCGGAGCCCTTCAGCTCCTCCTTACTGTAATGGAAGCAGGAAAAGGCCTCTTTAAACTGAGAGCCGCACGGTCCACTGGCCATGCCGCCAAGGCACGGGCAGTTCCAGTTGATGTCTCCATTAGCCAAAATCAGACCTTAAGGAAAGGAAAGCAGAAGGAAGTAAGTTAAAAGAATACTTGTATGAGGTAATGTTTGGAAGTCTGATCCTGTTTTTCCACAATGACTAACCCTGTTCCTCATAAGGATCATCGGGGTCATCTGCAATGAGCTCAGCGTTGCTGGGTGCCTCATGGTCCTCCTTGGTCACAAAGATGATGCGATCCTTACCTTTAATAACAAAACAAATAACAAAATCATGGATTTGTCATATAGCACTTAAAAACCAAGTAACAATGTGTTTTACAAAGATGTATAAAAATGGCAGATAATATAAAACATAACTGATACAGTATTAATGACAAGCAAGGTATCAATAACTTAAAGGTGGGGTAGGTAATTTTGGAGAAACCAGCTCGAGTGCGCTAGGATTTGAAAATACACAACCGGAAAAAATCTGCACAGATGGAAGGCTGACAGGCAGGTAGGCCATCCAGTTATTTTAGCCGGGCCGGCTAAAATGATTGGTCGTGCTTTTTACAGTTTTACGGCTTCAACAGAGGACATTTTTTTATGGATTTTTTGTCAAAGCACTTAAGATATTCATTGCTATCGGGATGTTAAGAGCATTCCATGGAATATAACAAAAAGTGTATCTCGAGCCGGTTTCTCAAACTTACCTACCCCACCTTTAAACAGTAAAAATAAGTATTCTCTATACTGAAAAACAACCAATAACATAACAAGTAAATGTGAAAAGTCCTAAAAAAGCATCAGTACCATTTAAAATCCAGTCTGATCTCTGGATCAGTTATCCAGTGTTGAGATGCTAAACTAGGTGTAATGTGGAATCTTCATAGGGAGTTGCCTTTAAAGTTACTGCAGCCTATTTGACTTGTTAAATCTTGGAGAGGTTGACAAGAATTCAGCATCAACAAACATGGGTTTATAGATTCCTACATGTTTTTTGAGATATGACAAAGTTGCAGAAAGCGTTATTAAATGACAGACTTCACCTGTTGGTAAAAGTGACATTTGTCATCTCTCCTCTGGACATATTTTGTCACCCCATGAAAGACACACTCACAGGACTTAACAGGTGTGTAGCTCAAATACAAATTAATGTTGTAGCCTTCAGTTTGGAAATGGGTGTGGCCAGACAGAGCAAGGGCACCGGAAGTAAGGGGGAAAAGGAGTGGGGAAGACGACATTTCCTCCTCGACTTTACTGGCGTTGCTATGATCCCATCTCAAGATTATATCATTGTCTTCATTTGCTATGTTACAGCAAGAGCAACCAGAGTCAGTTCAAATGTATGATAAATAAATAAACTGTACAAAAATAAACTAAAAATGCCCTCTACTAGTTTATATTTCGAGTAGAAGTAGAAAACCAGTTCACGAAGCTGGTTAACAGTGACCCCTGTGGGGGCACTGTGCCAGTAACCTGGTTTAACCTGACCTGTCAACTGATAGCCCTGGACGTGCCACCAGGCTCAGAGCTAGCCCTTTCCACCTAACGTCTATCAAAGGTGTCCGATCAGATTACGACAATGACCAATGTGTTTTATCACAACAATGCGAACACCCTTAATAATAAGCCTCATTCAATTGCATGCAGCTTCCTCGCTACCAGCCATGTAACTGTTAGCTAACTTACTGAAATATCCGGCTTCTTCTAGAAGTTAGCCTAGCATGGTGGCTAACTCGGTGACATTGCCAAGCCATGGACATGGAGTGAACATGAATGAAGGAGATTTAGATTACCTTCCTGTTTGCAGTACGACATGTCTGCCACTGGTTCAGTCCGTTGCCCTCCGTGGTAGAAGATGACCGGTGTGACAGCAGAAATTACTTAAGTGAAACCGTCTCATCTGACTAGATACCCGGCTTCCAAACGGCCCCGTTACCCCTCTGACCCTTCGGTCACATGTGGTCGCACAATTATGACGTCACTCGACCGTCATGATTTATATGGCAACTGTTGTTAACAACATAGGCGTCATTTGAGCTGGGGACATGTTTCTGAAATGGCCAATTTTATCCCCACCAAATGTGTAAAGTATAACTTACAAATGTTCTGAAAAATAGCATGCACAAAGAAATATAATAAACAAGAACACTGGGTTTAGTGTCAAGATGTGAAGTAAGTCAGTTAATTTTTTTTGTTGCAAAACATTTTTTAATGCTATATTTTTTTTCACGTTTTATATGAAATGTTGTAAAAAATACTCACGTTTATCACTTTATTTATTTCGTTTTACAAAATATATAAAGTTCATATTAAATGTCTTTATATATTTTTTATAATTGTATTATGCATTATATTCTTATTTTTTACTTGATGTATTGTCTGTTCGACCCTTCAGGAGGGGATTCGTGTCTGCCAAAACAGTTTGTATGGCAAAATATATGTGATAACTAACCCTACACATATTCTATTTTTTATTGTAAGGGACAATGAGATGCAAAGGTGAATTAGGGTCAACATGTACATTACATGTCACTTGTTAGATGCTTTTATCCAAAGCAACTTACATACACTCAATACTGTGGGCAATCCCCACAGGAACAATATGGGGTGAAGAGTCTTGGTTGGAACCAGAGCTTCCCTGAAGATCAATGCACCACCCCAATGAGCCACAGCCTCCCCAATGTTTAATGTTTAAAATGTTATGTATTCTTAACTATCACCCAATTAAATGTTATCAATGCACTGCCTCATATATTTTATGATTCTCTTTCTTCAGATCAAAGGATTTCTAAATGGAGTCTAAGAGTCTATAGATAACTGCAATTCTGGTTCGTTTTCTTTCATCCATCTTATTGATTACAGTTTTCATTGTAACATTAAAGCTCTGTCAGTAAAGATTTGATATAAACATTGGATAAAATGTAAAGAGGTACTGATGCATCAGAACATACAGTTCAATAGCAAAATCCCTCTAGTTATTTTTTACTCTCAACTATTTGAAGTGTGGTCATATTCAACTTCCTACAGGGACCTCTGGTGGAAGTTAAGTGCAAGGTACAACCTAATTAACCTACAGCCAGGTTATAAATCACAATACAATGGCTTAGAAATATCTCATCTCTAGAGGGTAACATCAGTGCAACAAACTTGAGATCAGTAACGTGTGTGTTGTGTCACCAGTGGTCACAGAACATGCAGGATCAAAGCACAACAAGGGGATAATAGGAATAAAAACACATTTTCAAGTATGTTGGAAAAAAATCTTGTTTTTTTTTTTAATAACAATGTCTGTTACATAAAGTAAAAACCAAAATGAAACCCTTTCTCATCCCTATCAAACCCACCCTCATCCCGACCACGTCGGCAATTTTGTGCAGCAATACAGTCTGGGAATAAAAGAGCATGACGACACAGACACACACTTTCCTTTGAGGACCCAGACAGAGGACAAACACATTTGCCCTACATAAGACCAGAGTGAATATAAACATAGTCCATCATTAAAAATATCCAAAAAATAAAACCATAGACGGCTTTGTCTGAGATTACCAGAGACCTCATCAGGAGTGCAAGCATATTTTATTTATACTGTTCAAACCCTACTATAGGCTCCCAGAAACCTCAGCCATGATTGCTACTTTGAGATGAACCTGACATGGCTTTCTTTCAACTCCCCCAAAAGGTCCAGGCAGTGCTTTCAGCTTAAAATTAGCACTATCACGTCGTCTCTGTCTTAGTGTTCCTTGAACATGCTGCGATGAACAATGCCCGAGGTAAATCAAAGACAGCTCCTCACACTGATGTGCTTTTAGGCATTTTTCAGCTTTTAAGACAGTCAGTGGGGACTTGGGCAGCCTGCTGGGAAAACGGTTTCAACTGCTAAAAAAGTAATGGTGGAAAACACAGATAGCGGAGAAAATAAAAAACCTATTCCAGCTGCAAAATGAACTGATTGTGCGAAATTGCAAAAAATTGCAAAATTAAAACAATGGTGGGGGGCGGGTGGATGCTTTGTGTCTTATGTGTGTCCGAAGGTTGGTATTTTTTAGAAGAGCAGTGCTCCCATGCTGCCCATTTCGCTCTGCTCCTTCACAAAGATTTCAAAGTACTGGTAGATGATGGTCACAGCCAAGAGGATTCCTGTCCCCGAACCAATGGCCCCCAGGAAGTCAGCCATGACGGACAGCCCTCCTATGCAGAGGCCACCGAAGGCAGCAGCTGTGGGGATGTACCTGTGAATAATAAATCCAGCGTCAATACAAAAAATATTCTGAAGGACAACTTTCCATATGCTGCAGGTAACACACATGACATCTGAGACTCAGAATGCTTTGTACCTGTTCAGCTCATGCACCATGGAGGTCTCTCTGTGTCCCCTCATCACCATCTGCTGCTCCTTCAGCTGCTTCGCCACCTGACACGCACAGAGTGATACATGAGGGTTAATTTCATGCGGGATTGATGCAAAGCAAAGTTGTCAATGCTTTTGTAAAAGCACAAGACTTACATCTTTAGCAGAAGATCCTGAGACCTCGATCCAGGTCTTTGAGAAGAAGGCGCAGGAGCCGAGCATGAAGACGATGTAGATGGCAGCGTGAACCGGGTCGTCCAGGACCGAGCCAAACGACTCCGGAGGGGAGAGGTAGTAGCAGAGCCCGGCCACAGGGTAGGCTCGAGCAGGTCCACCACTCGTTGCATCCTAATCACAATGAGATATTATAAATAAGATGATGCAGGTCCAACACGAGAGACAGAACCCAACCGTTCCCCCATTTATGAAAATACCACATGGTTTCAGCTAAACTGACTTTTGGTACCCGTTCTATTTCTGTATTGTTTCCCACTAAGGATTGTTCCCCTTAGTGTAAGAGGGATTCTCAGCTGGTCACCTTAACAACGCCATGTTCAACTGCATGACACATTCAGCTGAAAACTTGTTGAATACTTTCACCATAAAAGAGGAATGTCTGCACTCCACAAAAAATTGCGACCGCTTAAGAGGGTAGCTTTACTATTTAATAATTGTAGATTTGTGTAGGGCCATGGTCTCCAGGGTTTTATATTCACCCTTTAGTATCGGCTCAGATTACTTGGAACCTTGTCCGAGTGGGTACCAAAAGCAAGTACAAGATATTATCCAAAACTCTTGCTAGTTTAAAATCAAAAAAGTCAAGCTGTACTATACTGTGCGGTGGAAATGCAGCATAATATGTAATTCAATCTCCTCTAGTTAAACATAGACTAAGACTGGATATATCTATTGTCTCAAGCATTATACGCACAACAGAAGTGTCACCAATTCTAATAATAGTGTACCGTTGAATTTAATTGAATAAACGTGCTGGAGGTGCAGCTCCACTGTCATACTTACAGACCAGGTTCCTAGGAGGTTCACGAGGAAGTTCCCGCTAAAACGAGTTGAGAGCATCTGAGAGATGACGTAGAGATTGGAGACGAGGGCAGACTGCAGGATGATGGGGATGTTGGAGGTGTAGAACAGTTTGATGGGGTAGGTGTTGTACTGACCACGGTAGCGTGCTGACTTGATGGGCAGGTCGACCCTGAAGCCCTGGTGAGGTAAAGAAGCGCGCCATCAGTAATGCCATCCAAATTTTTTCAGTGCAATAACATCAGGTAAGACTCTTAGTGGCAGCTCACCTGGAAGTATATGACCACAGCAAACACGAAGACGGTGGCGATGAGGTTCAAGATGTTAGGCAGGTTCTGTCTGTAGAAGGCTTCTCTCAGGGCGCGCACCTTGTCTGTGCGGGTGGCCAGGAGATGGAAGAGGGCGATGATGGCTCCCTCAAACTCAGTACCTGAAAAACAACAGCAGTGACAGTGTTAGCCATTATAATTAGAGATGCTCCGATCGATCGGCCACCGATCGATATCGGCCGATACTCACTCTCTACCGATCGATCGGTGCTCTCTAAAAATGCCGATCGCATGACGTAAAGGATGACGTAAAAATACATGACACTTTCCTCTGTGCGCGGCAAAACAAGCTCGCCAAAATGGCTTCACCAGTCTGGCAGTATTTTAAGGTGTCCGAAAATGACAATAAAATAGCGGTATGCAACGTGTGTGAAGCAGAAATCCTGCAGCTCCACCCGCTGTGACGGACCGGTGAGCGAAGCAAAACACACACTAAGAGTTAGACCTAACACACTTAGCTATTTTATCTACCTCTGGAACAAGCTAAACTAGTTATACATATATTTATTCTTCACTGTCGGATCACTCATTACTGGATCAGTGAGCTGCATGAGACGATACTGACAGGCTGTCAGGAGAGAGAGAGAGAGAGAGAGAGAGAGAGAGAGAGAGAGAGAGAGAGAGAGAGAGAGAGAGAGAGAGAGAGAGAGGAGAGAGAGAGAGAGAGAGAGAGAGAGAGAGAGAGAGAGAGAGAGGAGGCGAGAGAGAGAGAGAGAGAGAGAGAGAGAGGAGAGAGAGGGAGGGGGAGAGAGAGAGAGTGGGGGAGAGGAAAAGAGAGCGCTTCCGCTAATTTCTCCAGTGTTATTATCCAAAGTTAATGTAAACTTGAATAATGTACTTCATTTGAATGTAATAATTATGTTGGTTGTTGTTTGTAGAAGCGCCAGTGTATGAGCCCCATTAACTGAGTTTTAAACATTACTTTAAATGGAAGATCCCCATAGGCCCCGCCCACTCGATCGGATCGGCGATCGGTATCGGCCGATACTGATCCCAAAATTGGCGATCGGAGCATCCCTAATTATAATTAAGCAATAGCTCACGACAGGCCGTGGTATATGCTCATTATATCACAGCTAAGGGGCGTGGTTCGGCCCGACGCGAAGCGGAGGGTCGACAACCCCCTTAGCTGTGATATAATGAGCATATATCACGGCCTGAAGTGAGCTATTGCTTTTATAAAACGGTTACCAAGTGTGGCAATATGAAAGAAAAATACACACTCTAATTTAAATAGTTTTTATTAGTAAATAATGATGTTCAAAATAAAATAGTCCCTCTGTTGCCTTCTGCACGAAACATAGTGCGAGGTGGTTGCTATGCAACAACACTAACAACAGCTAGCGAACATATTAGACAGAGAGCGTTGATCCATTATTTGGCTATTTATTTACATTAATGTGTATGCTGCCGTTTATTGTGCACCCACTGAAAAACTGTCCAGCATCAGTAGCATGGCTTACGTGGTTACTTGTATAGGCTGAGGTTGTTCTAGGCTGTTGCTTGGCGTGGCGAGAATATTGCTCCACTTTCTCCGGTCCCCGAGATTCGGCTTCCAGTAGCTCTGGAGAGAGCTTTCGCACCTGTGGCCACTAACGGTCATCATTTCTCTGCTTTGTTTCAAGACCCACATCAGAAAGCTTTTTTGAATGGTGATACTTTTCCAGTTGGTCTACCTGCTCTTCACGTAGCTCTACATGTCGTCGTTTAGGTGCTTTTTGTTCTGGAGATAGGCACTCCTCAATCCACTCCTCCATAGTAAGACCCCCCCGGAGGTCGAAGTTAATCTTAAATGTTTTTGCGGACCTTTTTGATTACAGATTTGAAAACATCGTTGCTTGCTTTAAAAGTAACACAATTCATTATGTCAAACCTTGGAAAGTATCTAAATATCCCTGCCCTAATGCCAAAGGAACTGCACACTGAACATGTTTTTGCCGTTTGATGTCTATGTCTGGACCGTTGCGTAAAAAGGAGGGTTTCTGCCCCGTTACTTCTCCGCTGCTTTCTTGTTCCAGTTTGAAAAGCAAACTGCAGGCAGTTTGCTTTTCAGCCCAACTGTATACTGTTTATCTCAGACGCGGAGGGATACTGACTTGTTGTGAAAAGTAACTTACAATTCTACCCGTGGTATACGCTCAGTATACCACGGCTAAGAACCAATCAGATTGCTTGATTTTACTTGTCCGTTTTATAATACGGATTAATATGCATATCTGTCACCGTCACTAGCTTTAAATACCTCTGCCGGTGTTGACCGTGGTGGGGCTGAAGGCCTTCCAGACGATGGTCTCACAGATGTTGGTCGCGATGAAGAGAGAGATACCAGAACCCAGACCATAACCCTTCTGGAGCAGCTCGTCCAGCAGCAAGACGATCAGACCTGCAACGAAGAGCTGCAGAAACACACAGGAGGTTAGTATTGGGCTGAGACAGAAACAAACAGCTATTTAAAACAAGAGAAGATAACAACTTTTGGATTTCTGACTATCCCACTAAGGAAGATGATAAAATTGTATCTTAAATTTGAAAAATAAACATGAACTGCAGAAGAGGAAACATGCTTTATATTCAGGTTGATTGTTATTTTTTACAGTAATCTGCCAATTACAATTTTTGACCACTTAAGTTTTTAGACACCCTAAATTAGCTTTATCCTAATTTATTTTGAGTTTGTATTAACCTGGATGATGATGAGCAAGCAGATCCCAGCGCCCATCTCTGAAGGGTCTCCATACATGCCGGTCATGACGTAAACAATGGCCTGTCCAATGGTGATGATCATTCCAAACACTGCGAAAAGAAAGACAACATGAGTTGCAATTGGCAGGAACAATTAGACATTACTGAATACGTGTCTGTTATCTTCAGAGGAAACCAAAACAAATAATTTCAAAGGTTTGTGTCAAGTTTTCTTAAAATAGCAAATATGATCAGCAGAAAACCTACATTTCTGAGCTCCATTGAAGAGGGCTCGGTCCTTGGGGGTGTCTCCCACCTCAATGATCTTTGCACCAGCCAGCAGCTGCATGATAAGACCTGAGGTGACAATGGGTGAGATGCCCAGCTCCATCAGAGTACCTGGAGGAAGAAAGCATAGTGTCAGTTAGTATAACAACAGCAGCAGAAACAATGCAAACAGCCCTATGTTTGTTGACCTTTGACTTATCACATGTGATGATGAGATTACATCAGGTCTGATAACAACACTGTTGATTATTTCAACTTGTTGGAGCTGCACAGAACTCAGCGGTTAACTCAGTTAAACATATACAATTCAAGCACCTCTGTTTGAAGCCAGGATTACTCTCATCCAGTAAAAGGGATCTGCCGAATCTGAAGACATGATGCCAAAAAGAGGAATCTGCACAGAAACAAATTTGTAAAGTTAGTGTCACAAACGACAATAACAGCTTACAGAAACAGCATGTTGGATGTCATATTTACCTGGCAGCAGACCAGGAAGATGAAAAGTGTAATGGCAGTCCATAGTACTTTTTCTCTAAATTGAATCTGCAAGGAAAAAAGACAATAAGCAACTGTCATTCACATGCAAAATGAATACAAAATTCAACATAATAATTTTATTTTGAGAAGACCTAAACATACCTTTCTTTCTGGTTTCTGAATTTCTGGCAAGACCGCACAGAACGGCTTGATGAACTCCAAAAATTTAACTGCAGAAAAAAAAGATTAAACGTCAAAAAACAGAAGTAACACATTACAGTCCTTATCAGTACATAGCATCACAAATATTTGTGAAATCTGAGTTATTCATCTTCTCAACAGAGTTACATTTGATGCAACGTCATCACTAACCCCCAGCTAAACAGCTAACATCTGGCCAAAGCAGCAATTAATTTGATTTTCTCAGCAATATCTGGATATACTAACAAATACATTTGAGCAAAGTTGGAGTAGCTAGTATTTAGTGTTTGCAGTCATTTTACACCGTTTTGCAGGATGCTGCTGAATGTTTTGTCTTAGAGCCGATCAGCTGTTTCAATCACAGGGATTGACTTTGACAGCAAGCCATTTAACATAAACCACTAAATTATGGTATGGCAGTAGACTAGTCAATCTGGCATTGCAACGTTTTCATTTTAAAACAAGGTGAAACCAGCATCCATTTCTATTTACAGTAAACTATCACGGATGTAGAGTCCATACAGCTAGCATGATGCTAACTAGCCTTTAATCCCAAAATACTTTAAAAGACAGCAATTTTGGACGCGTATTTAAAAGACAAATGCAATGTGTTGTAAATGTGCACTAGTTGAGAATCACATCTGACTTAAACGCAAGGAGACGCAATTTCATTAGAATAAAATCTTCAAATTAGCTCAAGCTAGCTGCAACCTAGCCTTAACCTATCCAAGGTTAGCTTAGTAGCTTACCGGCGAACGCTGTAATGCCTGCTATTGTTCGAGATTGAAAGAAGGCAGCCGGTATATTCAAACAAACTCAAACCGTGAATAAAAGAGAGTAATGCCACTTACTCCCCATGGTGTCCTACGTGCAGCTCCTGTCGTGTTCCTGGTTCAGTCTGAATGCTGATCGGAGTCAGTGTGGCTCCATCAAGCCGCTCCGGGAGAAAGAGAGAGCAGCAGAGACACGTCACCAGAGTAGCGGCTAACACACGTCACTTCTCTGAGACACACATCAACAACAAACAGTACATCATTAAACACACATACAGTCGTTTTCTCATGAGGACAGCATATTTAAGAGGATAAACAAATCCAGTAAACTCGGAAAATGCACTATTTTAAAATTAAACAGTTATCGTTTAACCCCTGAAGCCTGAATTCTCCCATCCTCTGGGGGCGCCAAACTCCAGACTCATCATGCTGACCAGAGATGCTATATGGTAAAGATAAGCAGCTGTGCCATATACAATGATGCACACTAGTTGTCTACTAAATAGGGGTGGTTAGATGTATTTATTTTTATAAATGTATTTATTTTTACAAGCTACTTAACCCTGTAAGGCCCACGGTTGTACTTTTACAACATTACTTTAAGCTATCCTAAAAAAGTCAGTAAATGTTTTTGTTTTTTTAAAGACCACATTTACATAGTCAAAAGGTATTTTTGTTCAGCTTCACATTGTTATTGGGTAGTAAATGTGTTTATAGGTCCCTCTGGCCATACACTCACACAACTTCCGAATCTTCAAACGAGCAACATCTCTTTGTTTTATTGAACTGGATTTGTCAGATTCAAGTAAGTAAAATGCCTCAAAAAATTTTTTGGGGTGATTATTACAATGTCTAGATTAGAACATGTACATATTTAGTTATTGTGGAATACATTCATCACATTTTATTTTAAGCAGCTTATGTCTTTGTTGTAATATTACAACACTGAGTCAGTGTGGTAGTCAAAATAGCATGTGTCCCTGTCATGGAGATTGCCCTTCTTATATGTGGAAATAAAACACTAATAGAAATATAATGTCTTTGATAATTCACTATAACTAAGTTCTAAATGTGTCCTCTGTTAAGATTTTGAATGAAGACCAGAATTGAATAAATTCATACATTATTTCTGATAAAAGTATGTGAAATTATATCTGTAGCAATATTTTAAACTTTTTTAATATTTAATATTTAGTTACAAAAATACATTTAACTCTGGTTCTGGCAGAAACAGTTTCTGAAATGTGTTGAGACACTTGGATGTATCCCTTTTAGTATGATAATTAGCCTGTTATCATTAGCCAGACAGCATTGTGTGACTTGTTGAACTGGTTTACCTGCATGTATGGGTGTAGGTATTCCGTTCATTATGATAATAGGCAGGATTGTGTGACTTGTTGAACTGGTTTACCTGCATGTATGGGTGTAGGTATTCCGTTCATTATGCTAATAGGCAGGATTGTGTGACTTGTTGAACTGGTTTACCTGCATGTATGGGTGTAGGTATTGCTTTTATTATGATAATCTCTGGAATGATCTGTGACTTTGATGTATACCAAGGCAGTGTCAATGGGATACGAGCCAAGTCTGAACTTGGATTGTCAGGTGAAGCTTGCCTCCACGCTTCCAGAAGGTCAGAACTACAAGATCTACGCAGACAACTACTTCACCTGTGTCCCATTGGTAGTGAAGCTCCTTGATCGTGGATTCATTATGTGGGAACAGCCAGGCAGGTGCGCTTACCCAACTGTAACCTTGAAGAGGAGAAGAGCTTGAAGAAAAAAGGGAGAGGAAGCTTTGACATCCGAGTGGGGGCCAACCACAACATCTGTGCTGTTAAATGGTATGACAGCAGAGCGGTCACACTTGTGTCATCCTTTGCTGGACCACACCCTGCAGAGAATTCAACGCTGGGACAAAGCCAACAAAACCTACGTAGAAGTTGAGAGGCCTTACATTGTGGGTACTTACAACAACATGGGATGGGAGGTATGGATTTGTTGGACTCGTTTACGGCCATATACAAGTTCCCCATGAAGTCCCGACGCTGGTACGTGTACATCTTCTGGCACACCATCATCCTTGCTGTGATCAACGCCTGGCTCCTACAAGCGGGAGCGCAAAGCTCTAAAGATGCCAAAGCAGGAGATCCTGACCAGGAGACAGTTTCAGGCAGATCTAGCATCCTCTCTCATCCTGGTAAGAATGCATTTCTGCTATTTGCCGTTTGTAATATTTTTTTATATTTCACTGTAATATTTTTGACTTGTATCCTAATGTATTTTTGACATGTATCTTGATTGATTCTGTTCTAATCAGGTGAACACAACTCCTCTGAAAACACCCAAGAGAGGACGACCATCTTCATGCAACGGGAGCCCAGCAGCGACAGTGACATCAAGGAGCCCGTTGAATGCTCAGAAGAGACCATCCTCAGGTGATGGGAGTCCACCAAACGGGGCCCCATCCAAGAGATCACAACCTCCACTGGATGTACGGAAGGACCTAGTGGCACATTTTCCAGTGAAGACAAAGAGAGGACGCTGCAGACACTGCAGTAAAGGGTACACAAACACACAATGCACCAAGTGTGACGTCCTTCTCTGCTTTTCCCGACGATAGGAACTGTTTTTGAGACTACCAATTGTATTCATATTTAATAAATGACTATTCATAAAAAATATGACTGATGTGTGATTATTATTCATGCTATATACTGATATAGGGCTAAGTAAGCAATCAATCCGGCAAATCAACCCTTAGTTGTTCAATATATTTATTCAGACAATGTGAGTAGAAATAAAGAAATTCTGCTCCCACCTAAGCCCAACGTTGCAATATTACAACATTTCCCTAAAAACGTACCAAAACGTAAAACATGTGAACACTCTTTCATTTCTGCTCCAGAGAGATCCAAGCAACGAAACATTAAAGCGCTGTTGCCAGATCTCGTGAGAGTGTGTTACCATGAAAGACACATCACACAAATTGTTCGAAAAAAGGTCATTTTCTCCTGATCTGTCCATCTAAGAAATTCCCATAAATATAACACTTGTGGAAATTGGGTCCAATAGTTATTCTGGTGACCATGGGGAAAACTAATATGTCACAATCTGTGTTGTTTACGTTTTCTCCCATTGGAGTAATAGAATCTCTCAGTGCTGCGTCTCTTTTCCAAACCGTCTCTGGGCCAATGTTAAGGTGTAAGCTGTTGACGCCTTCCTCTGAGAAAGACTAAGGCTATTTAAATTTATGATTTGATCTATTGAGATAGATTATGAATAAATAGGGGATCATATCTTGATTGGGAGAAGAAAAGTGACTATGTAAAATGCAGTTGACCGATTAAAGTTTTCACCAGTCTGTGCATGCGTTTTTAGCCCAGGTAATTAAGTCATGTTTTAATCTCATCATCAGGCATTTGTTTTTAGATAATTACATTCGCTATTGTTCCATAGGGTGTTAAGTTTTCTCAGTACTAGTGTTATCATAGCTTCCCCACTGTGGCATTGGAATAAAGATATTACATTTAGCATATTGTTCAGTTTTAACAGTATCCGATGAGTAATGGAGCCACACAATTTAGACTTGCAATATGTTCTCAATGTTCTACACTCCTGAGTATACCTTCCGGTAGGAGTGAGGGAGAATGATATGCTTATCCACAATATTAAAAGTTATTTACACTTTGATGGAACACTATTACCAATCCAATAATATCTTTCATTTATATGCACACACATTATTTGATTGTAAAATGCAGTATCGTTATTACAAATAAGTATGTGCTGCGTTGCATTGTTACATTTTATAATGATTAAATATTTTAAAAGCTCCATATTTCCTTTTGCCTTTAGTACCACTAGAGGTCAGTGTCATTGTAGGGTGTGTGTGTGTGTGTGTGTGTGTGTGTGTGTGTGTGTGTGTGTGTGTGTGTGTGTGTGTGTGTGTGTGTGTGTGTGTGTGTGTGTGTGTGTGTGTGTGTGTGTGTGTGTGTGTGTGTGTGTGTGTGTGTGTGTGTGTGTGTGTGTGTGTGTGTGTGTGTGTGTGTGTGTGTGTGTGTGTGTGTGTGTGTGTGTGTGTGTGTGTGTGTGTGTGTGTGTGTGTGTGTGTGTGTGTGTGTGTGTGTGTGTGTGTGTGTGTGTGTGTGTGTGGAACATTTAATCACTTTGTTAGTTGTCATGTTCCTGTGGTATTGATTGGTGGAGACTAGCACATTTGACTGCACAGTTCTGGTGGCACAATTAGCCAGTGACCCATAATATTGACACAAATAGCAATAGGATTTTTGGAGCGTATACCCATCTGTACATTTGATCAGTCTAAACTCCCCAGCTCTACTCTCACCTATCCCTTGATTTAAAGTCCAGCAGTAAAAACACACTCACACTGGAGGATGGTGGGAGCTTGCACATCTGCTGTCAAGATAGAGAGATATCTGTACATCCCTTTACGTTATGACCACACAACAAAGAGGTGAGGACAAGCAAATACCGCTCAAAGCCCCCAGTAGTCTCTGCGTTCACAACGTTTTTAATAGCCTAATAATAATCTACGGAACAATTCCTCCTGTCTGTCATATGGAACATTTAAGAGGTGTGCTTTCAAATGTAAAACAGGAGTTATTTTTAGTTCGGTATGAATTTGTTTTTAAATGAATCACACTCAAACTTCAATAAAAAAACGAAGCAATCCAGAAATAGTTGTTTATTCTGCAGAGCTTTATTGATCAGCCACTCAGTTCCAAGTAATGCTTTTGGTTTATTAATCAGACACAAAGTGAGCAAAAATAGACTGAATAAAGGGACAAAACAACCAAAATGAGGCACAAAACATCCATGACAAGGGACAGGAGAACCACAGACAAAAACAACCACAAAATGACCAGACGATTCGAAAGAGACTCAAATCTGCCACTGCACAAACACTGTATATGAAGGACTTATGTAAACACACCACGGAGGATAGATTAATGTCCATAAGTAGGGGAATGGGACAGAGATATCAGCGGGCAAAGAGGATCCCAGTGTTGTGGAACAATGCAGAGAGCTAAATATAATCCCTGCCAGCAATATGTCAAAACACATTTGTCAACACCATGTCTGGCACCTGCCTATCCCTGAAAACATGCACATTTGGGAAAAGCTGTTTGGAAGACACAGCTAATTTCACAAAAAAATTGTTGCACAATGTTTTC